AGCCCTTAGAGTTCACATACTGACATAAATTACCCCAGAAGCTGAACATGGAGCTCTACAATTTAATGTTTTCCCTGCTGAACTTTGGCCATCATTTGGTCCTATTTCTTTCTATCATCCTATTTGTACCTTTTGGAATGAAAATGTTTATTTTGTGCCATTGTGTGTTGAAAGTGTTAAACTTTCTTTCCATTTTTACAGGGGTTGGCAGCTAAGAGTTTGCCTTGAATCATAGAGGAGACTTTGCAGTTGGACATTTCAGCAGTGCTGAAACGATTAGGATTTTGGCATGAGTTTTGGGAGCCGGGGGTGTAATGTTACACTTTGTATTTGGATGTTCCTCCAAAACTTCTTACACTCATAGGTAGGACTTTTCAGAGGTGGCTGCAGCCAGGCTGTGTGATACTGGGATTAAGGCTGTGTGATGCTAAATTATTTCACTGATTGAAACTGGCATAGTTCTTGGTGTTAGTGAATGTATTTATTGAAGACAGAAACCCCAACCTGGGTATGTTTGAAAAGATCACAAGGTTTGTAGCTTATTTGAGATAAAAGAGAAAGGCAGGCTTGCTTTTGCTTCTGCTTCTGCTTACTGCTTCACTGTGTCCTGCGCGCTTTGCCATGGACTATTTCTCCTCTGTGATGCCTCTCTACCATCCCACTGTGCCTTGGACCAGCTCTGTTTGGCCTGAAACCTCTACAAACCATGACTGAAATTAAATTTTCCTCCTTCAATTTTGGGTCCCAGCAATGGGAAAAGATACTAAGACAGTGTCTCTTATTAGTTGATCAAGAGCAAAAGCCCTCTCTTCAAAGTCTGATACTCTGTACTTACACTGGTCAATTCTGTTACCTGTACTTTTAATAATGTATTTACTACCCTAGATTTCTGGTTGAAGCTCTTTTACAAACTCTAATTATTTTTAATTCTATACATTCATGCTTTGCATCTTTTAAAATAGCTTTTTGGGGTTTTATTATATTTCCTTGACCTGCTAATCATTTGTTTTATTAGAATCATTATCATTTTAATTTTTGCTGTTTTCAATTCACTGTCTTACTTATTTGTTTTATTACCTCCATTACTACCATTTCAGATATTTTCCCTGTGTAGCTTTTGATATCTGCCCCCACAATGGCCTTTGGAAAAAATAGCCCTTGCTTTGGTTGAAATGCAAGCTTTTGGAGGCATTTTGCTTCCATGTTTTCTCATTATCTATTGTTTATTCCTATCTGTGCTGAGACTTGCAGATTTCTCATAGTAGGTAGCTTTAACTGATATTGCAACATCTTTAGGTAATTTCTATTTCTCAGAAATGTTCTCCATGTGTAGCCAGCTATTAGATTTTGGGTCTCTCTCAGGATGCAACCACCTCCATTTATTAGGGAGATGTTCTTGCAGCCTGTTTTCCCCAGTAACCAGTTTTTTGGCAATGAGGTGCTTATAATTTATGGCCTCCAGCCAGTCTACATATTGACATAGAGAAATCCAATCAATAGCAACAACTTTGTTACCTTGGCTAAAGTAAAATCAGTAGCAATAATGATAGCATCTAATACAAATTGGATAATTACAAACACTAAGAATTAATACTGTACTGCCTGTAACCAGAGAAATTATATCTATACTTATAGTACAAACTCTAAGACAAAAGAGATATTGATATGCATTTAGTTTCTACTCAATAGAGCAATTCTATATCCATTAATAATTTAGGGTAGGCACAAGGAATTGAACTCAGGACTTCAAACTTGCCCGGTTGGTTCTGCACCACTGAGCTACATACCTGGCCCTTATCCATTAATAATTGAATAGTTTTCAATTTAATAAGATATAGTTGACTATCTTCAGACTCATAAATGTTAATGGTTATACTAGTAAGTATACTAGCGCAGGAATGGGATTGAGAAAATTAGTATTTGAATGATAAAGTAAGAGAAGATGGGAAGAAGACAGTAAAATTGTGGGTTTATACATATCTACCAGCTTGAGAACCTGTTAATGATATAACTGAGGATTGTTTAAGTAGTTGCATGGGGAGTGAGTTTAGGTAGGACTAGATCCTTCATTGCATTGATGATTTCTGACCTGTCTGTGGTCTTGGTGTTAAGGCAGAATCAGGAGAATACCAAGACTTAGTGGGCTCTCATCTTGGAAAGGGCCAAATGCTCAGGGCTCTCCTTTGTTGATATTCTGTTGCCAGCAATCACCATCTCTCTTAGATAATGCTTAAGTGAGTACCAAAACTTTTTGAGGTTACTGCTTGGTCACTAGGTGTAAAATTGATTAGTTTCTCCTCTGTAGATAAGGCTTTCATAAGAGCATGGGATCTCATTGGAATTATTACATGAAGTTGACAATATCAGATCATACCCTGCTCAAATATTCCCGGCCCTACATTTGCTTCATATCCTGGGAAAGACTTAAAGTGAGAGCCAGGAATATGTGGGGTCTCCACTGCACTACTGGTATTAAATGGACCAGGTGCCACCTTCTACAAATAATTACTCACCTGCCCTTGCCTCCCAGCCTGCCTAATTCTGAAGAAGAGCACTGAACTTGAGATGGAAATTGACTAGGCCCTTGTGCCTGGAAGGTCTATTGAATGTTCTTCCTTCAAAGTGATGCTTTAGCTTGTATCTCTAATGTAGCACTTCTCTTTGTATAATGCAGCATTACTGCCAAAGTTTACCTGGTTGCTTCCATGTGTGTTGCTATGCAAACCTGTGGGAGGTTTGATATGTTCAATATAAAGCCCTTCCTTATACCATTTGAATGTGGCTCTTTTCAGTTTATTGAAACTGAAAAGAGTTGGTTGAAAGAGTTTTCTCTGCCTTACCCACATTCAGCAATACTCAAGAAACTATTGTTATCCATGGATCAATGTTTGTTGTGTTTCTGTGAAAATTATTGGAAGTCTAGAATTCCTATTCCTCACCTTGCTAACATCACATACAACTACTCTCACAAAATGTTGGCAAATATTCCAAGACAACTCAATGGGTAAATTTTAATCTTCATAAAGTGATACTGAGATAACTGGATATTCACATGTAAAAGAATGAAATTGGATCCCTGTCTTAGAGCACACAAATAGTCTTAAAATGAATCAGATACCCACACTAGACAGCTAATGCTATAAAATTTTTAAAAGTAACATGAGTAAGTTATTGTGGCCTTCAATTAGTCAAAGATTAATCAGATACAGCACTGAAAGCATATCCAATGAAATAAAATATATAAATAATGGACTTCATAAAAATTAGAAAATTTCCCTACCCCCAAACCACATAAGGCCAGGAGCGGTGGTGCACACCTGTAATCCCAGTACTCAGGAGACTGAGGCAGGAGGCTTGTTGTGAATTCAAGGCCAGGCTGGGCTACAAAATGGGCTCAAGGCCAGCCTGAAATGCATAGCAAGACCCTGTATCAAAAAGACAAAAACAAAAAAAAAACAAAAAAAAACCAAAAAAACCACAAAATAAAGCCAGAAATTAAGTGAAAAGATATGGACTGAGAGAAAATATTTACAAATTCTAAATGCAGTATGTATTTAAACTCCAATATATGGAGAATTCTTGCCGTTCAATAATAATACTTACATTTTAAAACTGGATGATGAATTTCTATATGCATTTCTCTAAAAAAGTTATACAAATGACTAATAAGTGCATAAAATAATTCAACAGTATTACTCAGGAAAATTCACATTAAAATCACAATAGAGTATTACTGAATACTCAATAAAATAATTATGCTAAACAAAATAATAAATATTTATAAGGAAGCAGAGAAATTGCCCATACATTTCTGGTGTAATGTTTCAGAGTCATTGCAGTCTTTTCGTTAATTTGTTCATATGAAATACAAATTTAATAATTGATCAAACATTACACTGTCATTTGCACAGTATAAAAATATATTTATGTCGAAGGACTTATATACAAATATTTAATTATGCTGTTGTTTATCACGGCACCATTAGTCATAGCCAAAAAGGGTTAAACCATCTGTCAATTGGTGAATAAATCATCAAAATTTAGCATATTCATTCAATGGTATACTGTTTACCAAAAAAAGGAACCACTTGGATAAATTTTATAACGTTTTTTCTAAGTTAAAATGTGAGACACAAATACTACATATTGTATGATTCTATTCAGTGGAAATGTCCAGCATGAGAAATCTATGGAGATAAGAATCAGATTAGTTTTGTCTAAAACCTTGGCTAGTAGAGGAATGAAAAAAAATTCTGTCGTGAGTTCAGTTCCCGGAACCGGAGAAAAACCAAAAAAAAAAAAAAAATTTCTGGCTACTATAAAAATAATAGTGTAGGTGTTAAATATGTTCACTGTAATTTAGGATGTTGATTGCATAATTATTTATATGTATTAGCAATCCCTGAATACTACATTTGAAACAGGATCTTATTTTATGTGAATTATGCTGCAACAAATCTTTGTGACATGAATGAGTTACAATTTACAACATGATCTAGTGGAAAACTTTTACAACATGATCAGTTTACAACATGATCTATGGTCATTACACAATGACCATAAGTAAAAGGAAAATCTATGTTTGAGAACATATTATTTTGCTTTAGCATTCATTCTGCTTTTTTCTTTCTGAAAATGCTACCAGACACAATTTAGGAATAGCATGGTGGTAAAATACTCAGTTGGTCTTAGTTGGTCTTAAATATTTGTATTAAGATTCTGAATTCATTTTTTATTAGTTAGGTAACCCTAAATATATTATCTAATTTTCCCATTCTTGTTGTTTCATCAGAAAAATAAATATAATTACTAGCTCCTATTATGAGTTTCTTGTTAAAATTTCAAATATTTAATAGACATAATCTTCAGAAAAGGTATAATCTGATAGTAATTTGTAAATTTCTTGGAAGGTATTGTACTTATTATAAATCAAATGATAGGAAAAATAAGTTTTTAAAGATAGGCCTCCATTTCTCACATTTTTTGTTTGTTTCCTTCAGGTGTCTTCAATGTCTTGGGTTTACCTGTGACACAGTGCCCACTGGGTTTGAATACCAAAGGACTTCCTCTAGGAATCCAGGTTGTGGCTGGACCTTTTAATGATCATCTAACCTTGGCTGTGGCTCAGTACTTGGAGAAGAGTTTTGGGGGCTGGGTATGTCCTGGAAAGCTTTAGCAGGACATTTGCAGGTGAAAGTGTATTTATGAGTATGTTTCTTTTTATTGGGTGAGCTTGAACACCAGCGGGGAAGTAGATACAAAGAGCATAGAATTTATTTACACATTCAGTTATTCATTTATTACACTGTTTTTTCTTACTATAATAGTTATAATTACTTTCTCTTTCCATTTGATTGCATAAGGTGCTCATGTAAAAAGATAAGGGCAATAAAATTTTCAAATGCTGTAGTCTTGTGTTTCATATTACGCGCGGAGAACAAAAGAAGGTAACACTTAATTCTAATGAGAGTATCTTAAGAAACATCATGGAAGAGATTATGCTTAAATTGAGAATAGAAAAGACACTTAAGTGTTTTCCAGCATGGAGTAAAACAATTGCATTTAAAATGACCAAAAATTACAAAATGAAACATAAGTCTTCACAGTATATTTGTGCAGCAGTACATTGGCAGGATAGTTTTGGAACGGCAGAGGGATGCAGATGCAATGAGACCATAACAAGCAAAGGATCTCCAATGCCAAAAGGTTAAAAAAACTATTTCATCTTTTTCTCCAGTAAGATTTAGACAATTGTTCCTCAAAAATTTAAAATAGAAGGGTTAAAGTGGTGCCAGCAGGCGGAGGGTAAGCCCACACCCTCGGCCTCATGGCAGCACTAGTGGGAAGAATGAAGGCGGTGCCAGCAGGAGGAGAGTAAGCCCTCATCCTGTGCCTCCTACATTTCCTCGGGATGACAGTGATGGCTGGAAGAGTGTAAGCCAGCATTCTGCGTGTCCTCCATTGCACCAGGACGGGATTGCCAGTGGGAGGAGAGTAAACACAGCTCTACTCCTTCAGGCAACATCTCTGAACCTTTCCAAACTCTTCCCACAAGCCATTCCCAAAGGCTGTTGAACCACATGGTTAAGTACACTCATAGCAATGAGCACACTACTCAGTATCAAATTCTGTCCTGGTTACTTTTCTGTCATGGCTGAGACAAAATATGTTACACTCAAAATTAAGGAAGGAAAGGTTTATTTAGCTCACAGTTTGTGGAGAATTCAGTACATACTCAGCTGGCTCCAAGTCAGAGTAGCACATGGCAGAGGGCAGCATAAATGGTGGCAGAAGACAGCAAAAGCACCAAGAGCGAAAGAGGAGGGGTGACAGCAGAGAGCAGGCCTCTTTCCCTCTCTTATACTGTAAGCAAGCTACGAGCTCCAAGGAGGATGTAGCACTCACATCCATAATCCCAGCGTTGGAGCATGAGTCAATCATAAACTTTAGAAGCCCACTCCATGACTGAATGAGGCTTTTGGGGGGGACATCTAGACACAAACCATAACAATATATTGTCCCATAGGATATGCTTAAGTAAATGTAAAAGAATTGAAATTATCCCATGCATATTATCTGACCATAGTGCAGTGAAATTGGAAATTAGTGACAATAGAAACTGCAAAAACTCCATAAACATTTTGAAATGAAATTAAACTCTCCTGAACAACCAATGGGTCACAGATGAAATTAAGGGAGAATTTGAACAATATCAATAATCAAACAAAAATGCAAATATAACATTGAAATCTGTGTGACCCAATGAAAGCATCTCTCAAAGGAAAATTTATAGCAGTGAATTATCAGATAAAGAAAACAGAATGGGCACAAATAACCAACCAAATGAGACACCTCACACTTCTAGAAATAGAAGAGCAGGTCAAGCACAAAGCACATACAAAGGGGGAAATTATAAAGATCAGAGCAGAAATTAAAGCATTTCAAAGTAAATAAACAATACTAACAATCAATAAATCAAAGAGTTGGTTCTTCGAAAGAATAAATAAAGTTAATAAGTCCCTAGCCAATTTTATCAAAAAAGGAAAGAAAAACATCCTAATTCGTGCAATAAGGAATTAAAAGTGTGAAATCATTACAGATCCAGTGGAAATTCAGAAGCTCATCAATACCTACTTCAAAAATCTTTACTCTCATAAGATGGAAAACACAGAAAAAAATGGACACTTTCCTAGAAACATATCAATTACAAAAGCTGAATCAAGAACATATAAATATTCTCAATAGGCCAATATCAATTAGTGAGATTGAAAATGTAATTGAAAACTTACCACCAAAGAAAAGCTCAGGTCCAGGTGGATTCATAGCAGAATTTACCAGAAATATACAGAACATATAATGCCAGCAGGCCTCAAACTCTTTAATGAAATTGAAGGTGAAGCAATTACCCCTGACTCATTCCTGGAAGCAAGCATTAACCTAATGTCAAAACCAGAGAAAGACCCAATAAAATAAGAAAACTATGGGTCAATCTCTGTAATGAACATAGATGCAAAATCCTAAATAAAATGCTAACAAGCAGAATGCAGCAAATCATCAAGAAGATTATAAACCATGATCAAGCGGTATTCATACCATGAAGCAGGGAGGGTTCAACATATGTAAATCAATAAATATAATACACCATATTAACAGAGCCAAAGAGAAAAATGACATGATAATTTCCATAGATGCAGAAAAAGCTTTTGATAAACTCCAACATTCATTCCTGATACAAACTTTACAGAAAATTGGAATTGATGATTTTACCTCAATTTGATAAAAGCTATTTATGACAAACCAACAGCTAATATCATACACATGGACAAAAACTGAAAACTTTCAATTTAAAATGCTGAACAAGACAAAGATATCTATCATCACTACTCCTTTTCAGTACAGTTCTGGAAACATTAGCAAGAGCAATTAGACAAGAGAGAAATAAAAGGAATGAGTATGAATGGAAGAAGGCACAGATGACATGATACTCTACATAAAAGAACCTAAAAACTCCCCCAAAAGACTTTCAGGGGTAATAACCAAATTCAGCAGTGTAGCTGGATAGAAAATCAACTCTCAAAAATCAATAGCATTCCTATACATATACAACAAACTCACCAAGATAGAAGTTAGGAAAACCACACATTTCAAAAGAGCAACCAAAAAGTAAAATACTTAGGAATCAGGATAACAAGGAAAGTAAAGGATCTATACATTGAAAATTACACTCCTCTGAAAAAGGGATCAAGGAGGAGTTCAGAAAATGGAAAGATATTCTTTGCACATGGATAGGAAGAACCAACATTGTGAAAATGACCATATTCCCAAAACTCTTATACAGATTTAATGCAATCCCAATCAAAATGCCATTAGAATACCTCACAGACCTAGAGAAAGCATTCCTAAAATTCCTCTGGAAGCAGAAGAGGTCTATAATGCTATAGGCAATCCTGGGCAATGAAGGCAAGGTAGGAGGCATCATAATCCCTGACTTGAAATTATACTACAAATCTACTGTGGTAAAATCATCATGATACTGACAAAAACTAGACCTGATGATCATTGGAACAGATTATTAGATGCAGACACAACCACAAATACACTCAGCCACCTTATCTTTCACAAAGGTGCCAAACATGCTCATTTGAAGGAAGATAGCTTCTTTATTAAATGGTGCTGGGAAAACTGGCTTTCCACATCCCAAAGACTAAAGCTAGATCCATGTCTGTCACCATGCATGAAACTAATATCAAAATGTGTCAAAGATCTAAATATTCAAATAGAAGTAATAAGTCTACTGGAACAGAAAGTAGGTAAAAATCTTGAAGATACAGGAGTAGGCAAAGAGATCATGAACAAAAACCAAATTGCATGAGCAATACTTGAGAGAATCAACAACTGGGATTTCATTTTATTAAAATGTTTTTGCATATCAAAAGAAGTTACCAACAGAGTGAAAGGAAAACTGATGAATTGGTAAAAACTTTAGTCAACTCTCCCTCAGACAAAGTACTTCTGTCTAGAACATATAAAGAGTTGAGAAAAGTCAGGCCCACAAATTCAAAGACCCTATCCAAAAATGGGCATCTGAGATGAATACTCACTACTCAGATGAAGAAATGCAAAGGACAAATAAATGTACTTAAAAACATGTTCAACATCATCAGTCATTTGAGGAATGTAAATTAAAAGAGCAATGAGATTTCATCTCACCATGGAAAGAATGGCTATCATCAAGATATCTACCAATAACAAATCCTGGAAGGGCTGTGGGGAAAAAGGAATCCTTCCCCACTGTTGGTGGAAGTGCAGACTGGTACAACCACTTTGGAAGTCAGTGTGGAGATTCCTCAAATATCTAGGAATTAGAAGTCCTATTTGACCTAGCTATCCTCATAACACCATACCACAGTGATATATGTGCATCCATGTTGATAACAGCACAACTTGTAATAGCTAAATCCTGGAAATAATCCAATGGCCATCAATTAAGGAATGGATAAAAATGTTGTATTTTTTATACAGTGGAGTACTACTCAGCTATGAAGAAGGATAAACTCCAGACTTATATAGGTAAATGGATGCAACTAGGGGCCATACCCTTATGTGAAATAAATCAGACTCATGTGTGTCAGTATCATATTCAAAATAATAAATAAGTAAATAAGGCCCAAAATCTCAAGAGCTATTGTGAAAGGAAAGAAACTTCTCAAAAGGAAAGATCAACTTGGATGGGGGAAAGGAGAAAAGGATGGGAAATATATATATATATAAGCTAAGATAATTATACTACTAATTTAAATTAATTTATTGAAGGTAACAATTTGTGCTTGTATTTTTTGATCATATTGCATGCCTATAACTTGTCATCTGAGCAACTATTTTGAAGATAACAGTACACAATATGTTAACCATTGTTAATTTCCTATTATCTTGTTTTCAAATTCTGTATCATTGTTCTATTGTTTTTTTCTGTTTAAAATCAAAAAAATATTTAAAGGAAAAAATTATCACCCATTTGTGATAAAATCCCATGGTAAGTTAGGTACAGAAGGCTCATACCTTAACATGATAAAGTGGTATATATAAAAACCCATAGCCAACAGTGTACAGAATTTGGAAAAAAAGAAGTCATTTGCTCTAAAATGAAGAACAGGAGAAGAGTAACGGTTTTTATGACTGTTAATCTAGTAGTAGAATTTCTAGCAAAAGTAATCAAGGAAAAGTAAAAGGTATTCAAAATGGAAAGGAGAACATCAAATTTATACTGTTTGTGAATGACGTTTGTACGTGAAGAAAACCCTAATGATTCCATGAAAAAAGCTTGTACAAATGATTTAAAAATTCCACAAAGTACCAGTATCCAAAAGCAACCCACAGACGTAATTAGCTTCATCTATAGACCAATAATG